AAGGATCTCAAGACCTGGGTCCTGGTCCTGTTGATCTCCCAATTTCTTATGTGACTTTAAGCAATTTACTCACTACAGGTGCTTACTCTGATTTTAAAAAAAATATATATATATACATATATATCTGTGCATGTTAAAAATCTGTCCTGTTTTTTAAAAGATCCTTTTTATTCATATAAACTGATTAAAACACAAATAGCTACTTAAAGACATATTACTTGTGTATAAGCACCATGACTATTTGAAAACAGGAAAGCCAAATTTTAGTAAAATTTCCATATAGCAGGACCACTAATACGTGAGAATTAGCAAATTTGTTATTTGCCTTTGTAATGTTTATGGGGGGAAGGGTATTTACCAAATTTCTATTGCTAATGATTATAAAGTTTAAGGCACTTTACAGAGTAAATTGATTTTAATTATTAAAATTTATTTTAATTCTTAAAATTATACATTAATTGGTCCCCTGAAAACATTTTCACTCTGTTCTTTGTTGGCTTTTCAGTCCTTGTTAGCTCCCTCAATACTGGGTAATAAACCTGCACTTCTTTTAAAATATATTTGTTCACTTTGCCTTCAGTGTCTACCCATGTAGTCCAAATTAGTCATATTGTAATATACTGAAAGAATAGTTGCTATAATCTCCTCAAACCAGGAATGGATTGGCAAGCTGTGGTATATGTACACCATGTAATACTATTCAGCCTTTTTTTTTAAAATGGAGATTTTGCAGCATTTCTTTTAACCTGGATGGAGATGAAACACATTATTCTTAGTGAAGTATCACAAGAATGGAGAAGCATGAATCCTATGTACTCAACTTTGATATGAAGACAATTAATGACACAGTGGGGGGGGGAGGGGTGAGAGAAAGGAAAAGAAAAAATAGTGACTAATTCTCACATAAATTGGGTTTAATTTTGACCAAAGTACCTTATTTGAATAAATTTTAATTCAACTTGTTAATGTTGTTCAGGATATTGCATCCTCATTTATAAGTGAAATATGTTTATAATTTCCTTTTATAATATATTTTTTCCAATTTTAGTATCAGGTATATCCAGATGAAGTAGAATGATTTTGAAGTATTTCTTCTTTTTCTGTTGTCTATAAGATTTGGCATGATCTGTTTTTTGAAATCTTCTATTTTTATCTTCTATTTTTATTTATAAATATTAGTTATTTTTTGAGACTTTGGAAAAAAGTTAACTGATGACTCCATAGTGAACGTTAGAGTCAAAGTATTCTATGACAGACATACTTTTATCTGACAATGTGAATGTTACTTTTTTTTGCGTTATTATTGCTTAATATTTTGTTGCAGCAATTGTCTGATTTCTTTTCCCAGTGTATTTATCTTCATTCATTCTTTACGAGGTTTTTGTTTCTAGTCCTTATCTTAAATGTTGTTACTAAATTTTAAGCCTTTTTAATTTTGTGAAGGCAAAAAGTGGAAACCAAATAAATACATGTATATGTATAGAGAAAATAAATAGTTGCTATAACTACCTTTATTAGACTGAGTAGGAAGTGACTTCCAATAGATGTTGTACACAGTGAGTCCCCAGTCATTTCAGTGCTCACCCACCAGTGGTTCTTCTCCCCTCTGTAGTCTGCCATGTCAAAAAATTGCATCAAGCTTTTATGTGAAGATCCTGTTTTCGCAGAATATATTAAATGTATCCTAATGGATGAAAGAACTTTTTTAAACAACAACATTGTCTACACATTCATGACCCATTTCCTTCTAAAGGTATGTAAGTTTAATGTACCGCTTCTAATTAGTTGATGCTTGTATTTTCATTAAATGAAATTTTTTTCTAATCTTTTTTTTTTTTTTTCAGGTTCAAAGTCAAGTGTTTTCTGAAGCAAACTGTGCCAATCTGATCAGCACTCTTATTACAAACTTGATAAATCAGTATCAGAACCTACAATCTGATTTCACCAACCGAGTTGAAATTTCCAAAGCAAGTGCTTCTTTAAATGGGGTAAGAACTATGCAAAGGAGTTGGCCTATAACGTCAGAATTTGCCTTCAATCAACTCTTTAGCTGGCTGTCTTGATTTTACTACCAGAACTTTAATTTGTTATTCAAACTCTACAAGTCACATATGATGAAAAGCTCAGATTTTTTAAAATGTGTTCACTATGTCTTACATGTATGTAGCACACACTGTCACCTTGGAGGACACAAGCTAATGTCATTAAATGCTATGAACAAGACCACTAAGAAACACTTACTTCTGAACCCTCAGATTCATCTAGTGATTTATACAGGCAGTTAAAATTAAGAGTTTAGTTTGTGCAGACTCCCCTGGCAACCGTGTCAGAGATGGAACACCACGGAAATGTGCTTAGAACACTGTTCAGCAGCAGTCTCCCAAATAACAAGATGCTTACAAGCCAGACCAGATTACCAGGTTGAGCAAGGAAGACCTTATTGTTTGTGATATCCAACAGGATTTAGCTTGAGAAACTTCTATACTAATGACCTCAATTTCTCTTGGATCATTTAAGGTGTTTTTAAAATTCTTATGTAAGTCTGCCTAAGTCCTATTACTGATACGTACATACACACATATATATTTTTTCTTTTCTTTTTTGTCCTTTTCCATTTTCAGAAAACACTATTTCAGTCTTTGGTATGACTTCTTTGGGGCATAAAATAATGGTATTAGTGACTTAGAACTGATGAAATGCACAGTAATACTGGCTTTGTAGTTTTAGCATTCTAAAAATGCCAGAGAAAACGGATTTCCTGGGAAAGAAAACATCTGCATTTAACTGTGTCAAACTGTTGGCTTTAGAATTTGAAATGTTCCTTTCTGGGTTTTTATAGGATCTGAGAGCACTTGCTTTGCTCCTGTCAGTACACACTCCTAAACAGTTAAACCCAGCTCTAATTCCAACTCTGCAAGAGCTTTTAAGCAAATGCAGGACATGTCTGCAACAGAGAAACTCACTCCAAGAGCAAGAAGCCAAAGAAAGAAAAACTAAAGGTTAGCTTTATGGATTAACACTGTTACCTTTACTATGGGAGAAGGTAAAGAATATACTTGGTGTAACTGACTTTTTAACATCTATATGTTCAGCCGAACCTTCTAAATGTAAATGCTTAAAAACAAAATATTTCCCACAAACTTTGACTCTCTTGTTAACAAGTTTCAGTTTTGATGTTTGTTTTCACAGATGATGAAGGGGCAACTCCTGTCAAAAGAAGGCGTGTTAGCAGTGATGAGGAACACACTGTAGACAGCTGCATCAGTGACATGAAAACAGAAACCAGGGAGGTCCTGACCCCAACAAGCACTTCAGACAATGAGACAAGAGACTCCTCAATTATTGACCCAGGAACTGAGCAAGATCTTCCTTCCCCTGAAAATAGTTCTGTTAAAGAATACCGAATGGAAGCGCCATCTTCATTTTCAGAAGACATGTCAAGTATCAGGTCACAGCACGCAGAAGAACAGTCCAACAATGGCAGATTTGAAGACTGTAAAGAATTTAAAGACCTCCACTGTTCCAAGGATTCTACCCTAGCTGAAGAAGAATCTGAGTTCCCTTCTACTTCTATTTCTGCGGTTCTGTCTGATTTAGCTGACTTGAGAAGCTGTGATGGTCAAGCTTTGCCTTCCCAGGACCCTGAGGCTGCTCTGTCGCTCAGTTGTGGCCATTCCAGAGGACTCTTTAGTCACATGCAGCAACACGACATTTTAGATACCCTGTGTAGGACCATTGAATCTACAATCCATGTGGTCACAAGGATATCTGGCAAAGGAAATCAAGCTGCTTCTTGACATTAGGTGTAGCATGTCTACTTTTAAGTCCCCCCACTCCCATGCTGTTTGTATAAGTTTTGCTTATTTGTTTTGTGCTTCAGTTTGTCCAGTGCTTTCTGCTTGAATGGCAAGATAGATTTATAGGCTTAATTCTTGGTCAGGCAGAACTCCAGATAAAAATCTTGCATCTTCAGTATACTTTCTAAAGGGCAATCAGATAATGGATATGTTTTATGTAATTAAGAGTTCACTGTAGTGGCTTTCATTTAATATGGCTGTCTGGGAGGAACAGGGTTCCCTGACCCTGTATGATGTAATTTAAACTTACGGCATTTTTACTGTGTATAATATGGTGTCCTCTGTGCCAGTTTTGTACCTTATAATAGAGGCAGATTGCCTCCGATCGCTGTGGTTCTTATTATCAAAATTAAGTTTACTTGTATACGGAACAACCACAAGAAATTTGATTCTGTAAAGAATCCTCTTTAGCTGTGGCCTGGCAGTATATAAATGGTGCTTTATTTAACAGAATACCTGTGGAGGAAATAAAGCACACTTGATGTAAAAATAATTGTTTTATTTTTATTGACATGACTGATTGCTATTCTGTGCACTTAATTAAACTGATTGTGATGACTTTTCATTTGTTTACATACGTTGCTTCAGTCTTCTCAAGTGAAAGTAATGAGAAAACCATGAATGGGGGAAGCACTTACCCATCATATTCTATTTCATTAGAAGTGTTAGTAGCAGTTCACGACAGTAACCTATCCCCATAGACTTCTCAGTCCTCTCCACGTCAGGGCCCACCACAGAGAGCAAGGAGACGTGGAGCATGTGATACAGCCAACACTCCCTTCAACATGCTTTTGAATGCAACATGCCTCTGTTTGACTAGAGATAGACACCTTAAAACCTCTAAAATAAAGAATAGTAACAACATGCCATGTATTTTTTGTCTTGAACTAAAACTAACAGCCAAAAGCTTGCTTGCTCTAGGACAAATGTTAGCTTGGGAAACAACTATCTGCAGTCAGGGCCCTGATCTATTTTCAGATGAACATCTATGAAGGTGAAGTTAATACCTAATTTCAGGTAGAGTCCAACAACGCTTTAAATTCTCAATAAGTGCATGGATTTCATCTAATATAAAATAAATTAAGAGGCTGTTTTCTTTTTTTTTAAGGATAGGGAAGAAATAAACAATATTTTTTTTGTTATCAAAAAGTAATGCCCTTACAAAACCCAACTAATTCAACCACGTAGGGTGGTCAGCTGTAATAAACCTTTTATTTCTTCAAAATGCTGCTTCTGCCAACAGAATTTCATGTTTTCTTCTTTACAGACAGGAACTCCTTTACAGTCCAATTGTAATTCCGTCTGCCCTAGAGTAGGCACAAAATTCAGTACAACTGTTGCATAGTGTTCTAGAAGAAAAATAGGGACCTTATTACTGCATAATGAAGAAAAAAATTTACCCATCTGACACCACTTTTCGTAGTGGAAGAAAAACCCAGCTTTAGTGTTTTGGGACCTTTATATACAAAAGGCACTAAATAACGTACCTTCTGGCCAGTTCCGACATCTCCATTTCATGACAATCTTTTTATTTGTTAACTGAAAGCAAAGAAATTCCACTGAAAATATCTTTTTGAATTTCCCACGATATAACACAAAAACATATCCTTTTAAAACTCCTAAGTACTGAAATCAATGAATAACACAGATACTCCCATCTTCCAGTTCAGATGCCAGCACCATTGATGACTGTCCTTACTGACAGACTATCACTAGCAATACCATCAAGGACAGTAGCACAGTAAAATGCTGGTGTCTGGAACTTAAGCTGATGCCAAGGAAAGGCAACATAGACGGGCGTGAGTGCTAAAATCAACATGGAGTAACCAAAGGAAGAGTCCAGCTTACTGCTTTAGCCTTGAGGTTACTTACCAACTCCATATATTCACCAGTGATGTTTCCATCAAACATCTGGAATTTCCCTCCCTTTTCCAGTTCTAATACAGCAGAAGATTTAGAAAATTTTTGCACCAACTAACCAAAATATAAAACAAGACATGTTATTCCAGCACATTACCACTTTTATTTTTTTTTTGCAGTTTTTGGCCAGGGCTGGGTTTGAACCCACCACCTCTGGCAATATGGGGCTGGTGCCCTACTCCTTTGAGCCACAGGTGCCACCCCAACACATTACCACTTTTTAAACCTTATATAACAATTACTATGACTTAAGGTTTTTCTTAAATCTTAAACACAACTTTATGTACAAAAAATAAAACAAAAGCTTTCTCTTCCCAGAGGGAGAAAACTCAACATATCCTCTAAATGTTGACATAGTCCAAAAAAATGTCCATCTTTTCCCCCTCAATATTCAGAAGCTATGTATCCTCACAGATGTTCCCATCAATACCATCCTAGACACCTTCAATCAAAAATGGCTGTCTGTGGCATATGTTCCCCCAATGTCAGCATTTAGGATACCCGTGTAAGAAATTACTTACATCTTGCACAGTGAAGATACTGTATAGCTGCTCCACAGTTGTGTCAAACAGTTCCATCATGTGCAGAGCCACAGTGGGAATCCTTACACCCAGTGCTACTGGAGATGAGGCCTGAACCTTGAGAAGGGGTTCCAGAGGATAATTAGCATACCAAGAGATAAAGCTGCTTGGATTTAAAAAGTCAGTCTTCTCAATAAAACCCCCAAATGTTCCAAATTCCATACTACCCATTTGAGACACAGAAAGCAGCACGAAAAGCCTTTTTAGTAACAGCAATCTCAGTCTTGATAAACAGCTCATTCCTATGAGCTCTTTAGCTCTGTTGCATTCCCAGGCTATGACTGAACATCCCTAATGCTAGCTGGATGTGTAAATGGCTCCAACAATGTAAAGATGAGCAGATGAAAGACAACTGCACTTAGGGGTAAAGGGTGTCAATTACAAACACCTGTTTGCCAAATCCAAGCACAGGATCTAAAATCTTCTAACACATAAGTCAAGAAAGAAGGTTCTTCTATTGTGGTACGTGACCTCAAAGTCATCTGCTTTGGTAATCTGTTGCCTACCAAAGAACACTGCCTTTAGGACAATGTCAAATATTTGTCCCACAAAAAGGCCTGTTAAAATCAAAGTCTCATTTTATCATTTCCACAACAAAATGGTAGCTCTTAGAAGACTCACAGGGGACCCAAAGGGAGATTAACATGCTCACTATCCTTAACCATTCTCCATCATCGAAGGGCTATTTTGAACTTTGACTTATTAAGTTTGACTTCATTTTCCTCCATCTTACAATTTTGCCCACCAAAGGTCATACCTGAGAAGTAGTCTCAATTAGTTTCCTTTTAACAGTCAATTCTTGGGTTGCCATAGCTTTTGTTGGTAAAATCATTCCCATTGTAAATTCTATAAAGAAATGTTGGAGATGGTTTTAATAAAGAACTTTTTCCTTTTAAGTACAAAGAGTAAGGTAGAAAACCCAAAACAGCATATAAGAAAATAAAAGTATTAGCAGACTTTTATAAAAAGGATGCCTATAGCATTTTGAGAATGTCAAGACCATTCAATGTTTTTAACATATAAAACTGATGATCAACATGAGTCCCACAAATACCTTTTATTCTTTTCTTTGTTCAAATGCCTCACTCGTATCACATTCTTGATAAAACAGCAACATTTACAAGTTCTTTTCCAAGTAACTGTTCCATATAGTAGTGCTTTGTGACTCTCACCTGTCAAAACACTTGCTCATGGCTTCACCACCATCTCACCAAGCTTGTCCTCACAGTATTCAAACCTGTGAGCCAACCACATGTGCAGTCTTATGGGAAGAATGACAACCCCAGCCCATCTGTGTCCATGATTAGGTACTCAGGTAGCAGGGTCCAAGCATGAGGTGCAGAGATACAGGCCCTGCTGGCTATGTGCCTGGCTGATAACTTCCCTAATTTAGGGAAGAAGACAATAACCTCATATCCATGCAGCATGGAGATTCTAGGTAATCTCAACTATACCTATAATACCTGCAGTCACTTTCATTCATTCATTCATTCAGCAAAGATTTATTAAGCACCTACTATGTGCCAGGCATTGTGCTAGATGCTGGAGATACAGCAGTGAACAAGACAGACACCTTCCATGCCCTCATGGAGCTTATAGTCTAGCAGGAAAACAGACATTAAACAAGTAATTACACAAATAACTGATGAAATAATTTTCATTCGAAAAAACTATTAACAGTTCTGTAGGCCAGATGGTTCACGCTGTGTACAATACTGATAATAACTAATTATGCTCTAAACTTTCAGACTACAAATTATTCTGAAGTATAAGGAGATGCTTCTGGATCCTTAGACATCAGCCTAATCTGGGAGTCTAGACCACAGTGTAGAGTACAACTTGGCTAAATAGAAAAGGGACCCTCTGGTTCACAAGGGATGCCTTCTTTACCCGTCTTAAGTGCCTTCAGGTAATCTCCAAGGGCCTCCCTGACCTTGGCGGTGCCTGCAGTTTTCATAAGATCCTTCAGAATATCCCCATCTCCTTTCTTTTTACTCACGTTCACCTACAAATCAGAAAAATACAGACCTAAGAAAAATCTAGTTTGATGTATTCTGAGATTAGGCCATATGGATGAGAGAACTGTGATGGGAGGAAAAATAGATGTAGAGAGCTTAACAGGTTTCTTCACACAGAGAGAATGTAATAATGCAGGGTTCCTGGAGGGGTTAGTCGCCATTATCTTGAATGGACTTCACAGAATGTTAACCCTTCATAATTTGCATACAAAATTGTGTGTTTATGCATATGAATTATATTCCTGATGGTGGTCTATGACTTCTTCCATCAGGGTCTAGAAATATGCTGTCCAGCACAGCAGGCATGAGCCACATGTACCTACCCAAGCACTTGAAATGTGACTGTTCTGAACTGAGATGTGCTTTAGTATAAAATTAATAGACACTAGACTCCAAAAACTTAGTACAAAACAATGTAAAATACTTCATTTTTATATTACACACTTTTATATACAGGGTTAAATAAAATACATTAAAATTAATTTCACCTGTTTCTTTTAACTTTTTCCCTAAGAGAGATCAGGGTCTCACCATGTTGCCAAGGCTGGACCCAAACTCCTGAGCCCAAGCAATCTTCCCACCTCGGCCTCTCCAACAGCTCAACTATAGGCATACACCACCACAATGATTTTAACTTTTTTAATACAGCTACTAGAAAAATTAAAGTTGCACATATGGCTTCTGTTATACATGCTTCTGTTTATGGAACAGCACTGGTCTAGAACCCTAAAGCCATTGTAATTAGGGAAATCAAGTTCCCAAACAACTTAGGCTTGGGCTATACATTTTTGGCAGGGAGAATTGGGAACAGGAGCAAATGAGTAAAAGGGGGAGAGAGAGAGAGAAAGATGAAAGGAGGAGGAGAGTGGAGAAGAAAAATAAGGGCAAGGGAAGCATCAGGGGAGCCTGGGGATGCTTCTGTGCTAGTCGCAGAAGGAAAAGAGGTTATGGATTTGAAATTATTTAGTGTCCAGATGATTTGGTTGAGCTGGACCTGATCCCAGGCCCCAGTTCAAATCCAAGGAGTCTGTTTTGTAATGCTACTGAGGGATCAAATCTAGAAGCTAGTTTCACATGCTACTTAAAGAGCCTCAGCTGATGGATCTGAATATAGCAAAGCAGAACCCCAGTCTCTGAGAACAGCAACCACACATCTGAAGTTACATCTAAGACAATCCCACCTTCATGGTATTTATAACCTTCAATAAAAGGTTTAACGTGCTCAATAGGATTTAGTTCTATCTTTGAAGTCTTCACACTAAAAACATTCACAAACCCCCAAAGACCTTTTGTCAGACTCTCTGGGTTTGGAAAATATAGCTTGCCCTTAGAACCAGGTTTTCAGCTTACAGGGTGCTAACTGCAAGCCAAGCATGGGAGTTACACGAGGCTCTATCTCCCAAGAGAACTAAGAGAGCCAGTCAAAAGCGACATGTACTAACTAGGTAGTTAGAACCCTTAAGACGTAACCAAGGGAGGATCACAGCTTTAGGCTGAGAATTTTTACTATTAAAGAGAAACAGCAAAGGTGTAGGGAAAGAGAAACAAAATCATATTCATCGAGCTATGCAAGCTGCAAAGAACTTTACAGTACACACATTGTCACATTTAGCCTGATAACATCCCTGAAAGACAAGGTGGCTTTGGGGGTTACGGGCCTCACTCTTTGTCCTCCACTATGCCAGCTCCACTACCATGCTACCCCCACAGTAAAGCAATCCTCCACAAACAAGCCCCCCACAGTTCACCAGAACTACCACACAGGAATGATGCCATCAGGTTAACGTTTCTTCAAATGCATGATGTCTACAGCAGAAGCTTGACTGGCAGAAAAGAAAAAGAATAAAACTCCTTTAGATACCTCAGTGTCATCTACTTCATTTTCTTCAGAAAGATTGGGTATTTCAATCAATCCCTTGTGCTTCACACCAGATTCTTTAATGATACCTAAAACAAACAAAATTGAGTTCTTCAACTTAAAAGTAACAACAGGTTTTATGTGCAACTACCCAAAAAGATAGTCCACCATTCTTCACCAGGTGCCACTACTGGACTCTGCTCACTGTCCCCATCAAAGGTGGGCAGCCCGGCAGTCCTGAAGGAGGTGTGGGGTCTATAACCCGTTTCTCTGCCTGTCCCACAGTTTCCTCCACCCAGCCAAAGCAGGACAAAGGTCTATCTTGCCAGGGAGAAGTCACAAGAGGGCTGAGAGAACAGAAAGGGACAGTGAGTTGAGACCATGGAGAGATTAAGGGGAGGGAGGCTGTGGCCTGCAGAAGTTATTTGTAGTCTCTACGCAGCTCCATTTCTTTCAGCTGCCGCCTCCACCTCTGGAACTTGATGCTAAATGAGCCCTGCCTGGCTGCAGACTGTGTCTTATCTCACAAAGGATCTGGTTGTTGCTTTGGGCCAAAAAAGGCAGAACAGACACAGGTCATGAGGTTCCCTGGCTGTTGTGCGAGAAGGGTGGGGAGCCAGACTCTAGCTTTGATCCAGTCAGCAGCAGCCCCTGGGGGTACCACTGAACACCTCCCTGGGCTCTGGCTGGGTTCATGCTAACAAGGCAACCACTAGGGGAGCGGCAAGAGGCCAGCTGACCGAACCATTCTCTAACACAAACTATCAAGGAAGGAGCTGACTCCAAGGCTGAGATCCAAACCTTAACACAGCACAACCCTCTAGAACCAGGTCTCTCCTCTCCTACTCTTCCTTTCTCTATGTCTCCACATCCTTGGAAATTAAAAACGTATTTACCGAGCATATACTGTCTGCCCAGCCAGGAACTAGGCACCACAGGAGAATTTAGCCACAAGATCCAAAAAGCGGAAGCAACCAAAATGCCCATGAACTGATAAATGGAAAAGCAAAATGTAGTATAGCCATACAGTGAAATATTAATCAGCAATAAAAAGAAATAAAGTACCAAAACATACTGTATGATTTCATCTATATGAAACATCCAGAGGCAAATTCACAGAGTTAGAAAGTAGATTTATGGTTACCAGGGGCCTATTAAGAGGAAAATGTGGTGGGTCTGCTAATGAGTACAGGATTCCTTTCTGGACTGATGGTTATACAACTTTGCAACAATACTGAAAAACACTGAATTATACAATTCAAAATGGGTAAATTGTGGGATATGTGAATTATATCTCAATAGAGCTGCTATTTTTTTTAATCCCTACCCTGATAAATGGAGGCATGAGAGGGAACAGGACAATAAGTGAAACACTTAAATAAGCATATAGTGTACAGCCAGTATCAGTGGTCTGGGGGAAAAAACAGGGAAGGGGGACAATACAGGGGCGTCTACAACATTTCTAGGATGGTGAGGGACAACAGACCTGGAAGAGGCAGGCAGTCATCTGGGGAAAGAGTGCTCTAGGCAACAACTCCAACAGACTCCAGTGCTCACAAGTGACTACCAGAACAGGGCCCAGCTGACAGCAATGAGTTCTAAATAGCTGAGTGCTGGGAAGGAGTGCCACCCTTTCTTAGATCAAAGAACATCAAGTGTGGTCAGAGCATCAGGAGCTACTAACACCAATTCAGTGGCCAGTCAGCTCCAGGCCCACAGCAGCAGTTGTGAAAATACTAGCTGAGTAGCTGCATAATGAACTGAGTCTGCCCCAAGGCTGCCTCCAGCCCCAGTGGTACCCCAGGCTCCTGTTACCTTTCCAGCCCAGTCTGATGTTCCACTCATAGAAGAAAATCAGCTTTCCTTTGCGGCTACTGCAGGAAGCCTCACCTTCCACCTGCTTCAGCTCACTGATCTCACAGCAGCCTGCTTCGTTCTCCACAGCAATGCCCACCAGGAGCTCCTGGAGCTTCCCTTTGGACCATGTGGTGGCATCTCGCTCTGTCCTGCCAGAACAAAAGAGCAGAATCATGAATGGAAGCCCCAGCTGATATCCACCTGCCAGCCTGGATGCCAGGGTGAGGTGTGAGCCAGGCCCAGCCCAGATCAACCTCAAGAGCCCTGTCGCCAACTTACAAATATGCCTCTCAAACCTGCTTTCTACCAAATATCTTTATTCTCCACCATGTAAAGTAGTACTTTGTCTCGAAAACACTGGCTTTCAAGAAGGGGAAAAGGTCTAGCAATCTCACCCATTAGAAATGGATAGGAACAGCCTGAGCTATATATGAAAAGGTAGTGCCCAGGTGGGGTGGCTCACACCTGTAATCCCAGCACTCTGGGAAGGTGAAGGGGACCAGCCTAAATTAGAGCAAGACCCCATCTCTAAAAAACAGAAAGAAAGAAAAAAATAGCTGTGGGGAGGGAGGTGGGCACTTGTAGTCCTAGCTACTCATGTGGCTGAGGCAAGCAAGAGAATCGCTTGAGCCCAAGAGTCTGAGGTGCTGTGAGCTGTGACACCAGGGCATTCCACCCCGGAGTGACAAAATGACACTATGTCACTTTTTTTCTCGGAAAAAAAATAAAGGTAGTAATAACTGAAACGTTAAGAATCATGACGATGCTATCAAGTGTTTCCACAATCATCTCACGCAATCTTCCTAATATGCCCATTGTAAGGAAAAGAAAAGAAGTGAGAGCAGTCAGTGGCATGTCTATAGTGCCAGGGCTGGGAAGCCAGAGCTCCGCAACTTGGAGGCCCAGGCCAGTGCTCTTCCAGTCCAGCCCAGTCATGCTCCTCCCACCTCCCAGGCTGGCGGATCTGCTCTGCCTCGGGAACCCCGCTCAGCATCACCTCCAAGGCGTGGAGGTACCACAGGCCGGGAGGGCAGAGGGCATCTATCCTTGAAGCCCTATGGGAAAGAAGAAGGCAGCTCCGACTCCACCCCACTCCAGATGAGGTGTAGGAGGACGCGTAACTTGCTCAAACTCAAGAGAAGGGCCCAGCTCACGGGAGGCCCATCGAGCTAGCTGCAAGTTCCTGCTCATTGCACTACGTACCACAGACCCCAACACACACACACCTTCTCTTGGTTCCCTTTTAACTCCCAGAACCATCAAGAGGATTGAAGATGCGGGAAGGGAAGAGAAGACCCTAAAGTCACAAAAGACTGTCAAAGTTGAAGGGACATGCCAGAGTCATTCGTGGGGCCCAGCCCAATTTCCAAAAGAGGAAACTGAAGCCTAGACAGCCGCAGAGCCCTAGCAAGTGCGCAGGGCGGCTAGGACCAGCCGCCGGGACAGGGGACGCGGAAGTCCCCGCACCTGTACAGCCCCCGCCCGCCCCCGCGCCGGGCCTGCGTGGGGCGCCGGCATTCACTGGCCCCACGCCACACTGGGCGCCCGGAGGGAAAAGGCCCGCGAGCCGCGCATCCCCGCCCGGCCGCACCAGTGCCAGTTGTTCACATTGGTGCCGTCTTCCCGCTCCTCCACGATCCAGCGCGGGTCTCCCTGGCCCCACTTGGCCATGGCTGTGCGGACGGAGAACAAGGAAGGGCTGCGGCTGCGGCTGCCGCTGCAGCAGCTGCTCCCTCGCCGGTGTTTCCGGCCGCCCAGCCCCAGTGCAGTGCGTTCGCAGCGACCAGAATGTGCCAGAAGTCCCCGCCCCCAGCCCCGCCCACCTGCTTGGCTGCGTAGCGCTGGGAGGGGCTACGTCGCGTTCCCAGAAGCGGAGGTGGGCGGGGCCAGGCAGACTGGGACGCAGTGCGGGAAGGTTTGGTTAGCGAAAGGGAGGGGTTCGGCGGGCCTCTCAAATACGGCCGCGGGAAGGGGAAGCCTGCGAAGGGCTGGGACGTCCGCACGGATTCCTTATTATCACTGCAGTTACTCTTTGATACTGGGAAGTAGGGCCGTGAGTCTGGAGCTTCCTGAGGGCTGTACTGAAGGGCCACACAGCCGCGTGTCCTCTGGCGGCGCTCCAGGATAAGACTTGGAACATCAGGCCTTTGTGGCCGCTCCCTGCACGCCACTGGCAGGTTTTGTCTGGGAGATCCCACGGAGTTGGTGCACTGTGGTCCTCCCTTGGACGCCTCGTCTCTCGCCTTCCCAACGCAGGGCCGAGTTACCCAAGCTACCAATTCCCCGTCACTTAAAGAATGTTTACGTTTTATTCATGCAGTAATCCTTGGGAAAGAACGAGAATATGTGAGTGCAAGCTTCAAGCACTTTACAGTAATTGAGTATTAATAATTCCTTTCGTGAGTTTTCAGCTTCTGGGAAAAACTTTGCACCGACCATTTGGACAATGTTACTGTTGTGCACGAGGGTATTTACTCAGTAAAGGAAATGGGCTGGAATCAGACCGTGTCAGGGTGGAACTACCTAACTCCTCGCTGGGCTGACCTGTCCTTTGCTTGTGGTCTGTGCTCATCTATGAAATCAACTAAAGATGGAGGACATTTTCTCCACGTGCCTACTGGAGCCACCTGCCAGCATTATTTTCCAAAAAGCTGCAACAGTGTAGGAAAACACACTGCTTCAAATTGTTTTTTGCAGTTTTTTTTTTTCTTGGCTGGGGCTGAATTTGAACCCGCCACCTCCGGCATATGGGGCCGGAGCCCTACTCCTTTGAGCCACAGGCACCGCTCTCAAATTGTTTTGACATCAAAACATAATGAAATTTTGATTTCACCTTGCACGCTTCACAAAGTGGATGGGCAACTAACAAGGTATTAGGGACCGGGATGGCAACCAGTGGGTATCATTCATTTTCTTGTGGATTGGCTCTTCCCCTTTTATCCAATTCATGAAGAGTATTGCTGATGGAACTTTATATAGCAAGATTTTTGTATAATTTAAACCTAGCAGAAAATAAGATTTACCAGAAAACTTACAGAAGCTATAATCACTAAAATTTTATGTGAACAAAAAAAAGTTGTAATATTTACACAAAAAGAACCGATCCTAATGAAAATAGTTTATTGAAATAGAAATGTAAAGATATTCTATGTATTGGATAATTGATCATAAATTGGCCTAAAAGAATTTGATCCAGAGATTAATTTCATAGTGGAACTCTTCAGAATTGATGTAATTCTTATTAAAATATGTCTTTGGTGAGGCACTTCGGCTCCTGTAATCTCAGCAATTCGGAAGATTAAGGCAAGAGGATTGTTTGGCCTTATGAGTTCTGAGCTGCAGTGAGCTGTGATTGCACCACTGTACTCTAGCCAGGATGATGCAGGGCGTCTCTATATCTTTATTTATTTTTTTTTTTTGATACAGAGTTGTACTGTGTCACCCTCTGTAGAGTGCAATGGTATCACAGCTCACAGCAACCTCAGACTGTCTGGCGTAAGCAATTCTCATGCCTCAGCCTCCTGAGTAGCTGGGACTACAGGCACCCAGCACAACGCCTGGCTGGGTTTTTTTGTTGAAGTTGTCATTGTTGGTTAGCAGGCCCTGACTGGGTTTGAACCCTTCTGCCTCGGTGTATGTGACCAGCGCCCTATCCGCTGAGAACGGGCACTGCCATGGGAGACCCTGTCTCTTTAAAAAAAAAAAAAAAGTCCTTTGCGGGGCGTTGTGGTGGGCACCTGTAGTCCCAGCTACTGGGGAGGCTGAGGCAAGAGAATCACTTAAGCACAGGAGTTGGAGATTGCTATGAGCTGTGAGGCCACAGTGCTCAACCGAGAGTGATAAAGTGAGACTCTGTCTCTTAAAAAAAGAAAAAAAAAAAGATCTTTAGTCTCAGCACCTATAGTTTATAGCTCAGTGTTTAGGGCGCCGGCCATATGCACCAGAGCTGGCAGGTTCAAACCTGGGCCAGGCCTGCTAAACAATGACGACAACTACAACTACAACAACCAAAAAAAGATCTTTAAAACTGAGGCAATGTGCTCTTAGAGATTGTTGAGGAAGAGGATATGCCCACAATGTCCTCAGTTTACAATTCTAATTACAAAAGGGAAAAGTTACCTTTACAATGGCAAAAATCCTTCCACTGACCAAGTGAACCTAATGCTGAAGCTCAGCACTTCCCGTAATGGAGGAAACTGAAGATACACTGTCATCTGTGTAGTTTTCCTTCCAAAAAATCTGAATCTAATAATGAGAAAGCAGTCAGAAAATTCTCCACCTGAGGAACATTCTGCAACATGGGTTTGGCTTGGACTCTAAAAATAAACATTTCATGAATGCCAAAAGAAGATTGAGATGTGGTGACTAAACCAATGCATGGTCGTAGATTAGCTCCTGCATCAAACACAAACAGTTTTAAAAAACATAATTGGAGCATTCTAAATTGCATTTAAGACTACATGTTAGAAAATATTTCATCAATATTAAAAAATTTTCTGATGATTGTATTCTTCTTCTTTGGAGATACATGCTGGAATATTCATGAGTAAAGCATTGTGATGTCTACAATTAACTGACCCTGAAGTTTGGGGGAAAAAAAGAGAAAATGTGGCAAAATGTTGACAACTAGTGGCTCTTGGTGAAGTGTATCCAGGAGTCCATTGCACTATTCTTGCAACTTTTGTAAGTTTGAAATTTTTTTCTTTCTTTTTTCTTTTTCTTTGTGTGTGTGTGTGTGTAGTTTTTGGCCGGAGCTGGGCTTGAACCTGCCACCTGCAGCATATGGGGCCAGCGCCCTACTCCTTTGGGCCACAGGCTCTGCCCTGACATTTTTTTTCAAAATAATAGTTTGGTAAAAAAAATCTATCGAAACATCCTAGAGTCACAGCAGTGGCACCAACCTTTTGTAAACTTATAGCACAACATTTATTGAACATTTTCTGAGTGACCACAGAAATGAGTTAGACCCAGGGCTCAGAAGATAGTGAAGGGCCAGTGTGAATTCATCTTCCTGGTATTCAGAGCACCCTGGGGATCCTGTGGAAAAACTGGTTTTCTTCCTTTTCTATTCTCTCTCTCTGTTTTTTTTTTTTTTGAGTCAGAGTCTCACTCTGCATTGAGTGCTGTCGCATCATAGCTCACAGCAACCTCAAACTCTTGGGCTCAAGCTGATCTTCCTGCTTCAGCCTCCCAAGTATCTGGAACTATAAGCACCTGCCACAACACTGGGCTAGTTTTATATTTTTAATAGAGATAGGGTCTTGTCCAATGTAGATAACAAATTTCTTCCTGTAAACCTGGACTACTTTGTCAAATCTGCTGACTTTTATAGTGCTCCCATGCAATCTGAACTACTTCAGCCTTTCAGATGGGCCTGGATCTAACATTGTACTCCTGTCTCAACTCTTTGGAAAGAGGGGAAAAGTCACTTCATATTGGTCAAGAAAACAGTAAAACAAGAGGACATTTCATTTCTAAATATTAATTGCACCCAACTTAAATGCTCCCAGATTTGTAAAACAGACCTTGATTGGTCTGAGCTATGTGATATCCCATAACACCATAATACTGGGGATTTAATCCTATGACAGAACTGGACAGATCCTTTAAACAGAAACTAAGCAAAGATACAAGGGACTTAAATGTGACCCTAGAACAAATGGGCTTAGTAGACATACAGAACACACCATACATTTTTCTTGTCATCCCATGGTATGTACTCCAACAACATCCTAGAATAAAAACCTCAACAAAATTAATCCTAGAATCAAACCTCAACAAAATTAAAAGAATTTAAATTATAGCTTGTATCTTTTCACACCACAAAGCAATAAAGGTGGAACTCAACTCCAACAAGAATTGTCATCTCCACACAAAGGCATAGAAACTAAGCAACCTTATGCTGAATGAGAGTTGGGTGAAGGAAAAGATAAAGAGGGCCTCTCTCTCTCCTGGGGCTGTGGAGGGTCCAGTTTCTCCTCAGCCAAGGATGGAGGCCAACATCAGCCCCTGAGGACCATTGTCAGGACTGCCATGAGAGGGCAGCCTTGTTTTCCTGCCTCAAACATTTGGAGGAAAAAAAAAAAGGGAAGAGATAAAGAAGGAAATTGTTGAGGGCAGCACCTGTGGCTAAGTGAGTAGGGTGCTGGCCCCATATACAGAGGGTGGTGGGTTCAAGCCTGGCCCCAGCCAAATTGCAACAAAAAATAGCCAGGCATGTAGCAGGCACCTGTAGTCCTAGCTACTCCAGAGGCTGAGGCAAGAGAATTGCCTAAGCCCAAGAGCTAGAGGTTGCTGTGAGCTGTGACGTCACAGCACTCTACTGAGGGCGATAAAGTAAGACTCTATCTGTACAAAAAAAAAAAAAGAAGAAGAAGAAGGAAATTGTTAAATTCCTCAAACATGACAACAACAATGAGGCTACAAGTTACCAAAACCTGTGGGATACTGTAAAATACTTTATTTATTTATTTTGAGACAGCACCTAAAGCTGTCACCTGGGTAGAGTGCTGTGGCATCACAGCTCACAGCAACCTTAAACTCCTGGGCATAAGCGATTCTCTTGCCTCAGCCTGCCAAGTAGCTGGGTCTACGGGCACCCACCACAACACCCAGCTATTTTTTGGTTCTTGTTTCCATTGTTGTTTGGTAGGCCTGGGCTGGATTCAAACCCACCAGCTCTGGTGTATGTAACTGGTGCCTTAGCCGCTTAAGCTATGGGCG